ACTTCAACTCCCAGAATTCCTCAGCCAGCGTGCCTGGCTGAGGAATTCTGGGAGTTGAAGTCCACAAGTCATAAAAGGGTCAAGTTTGAAGACCCCTGGTATAGACTTTAAGAGGAGTGGACTTCAACTCCCAGAATTCCTCAGCCAGCGTGCCTGGCTGAGGAATTCTGGGAGTTGAAGTCCACAAGTCATAAAAGGGCCAAGTTTGAAGATCCCTGATTTAAGCAGTCAAGAGACCGGGGCTCTGAGGATACAGACTGCTTTTCTTTGGGTTCTTGATTGATTTATGGGGTGGCTGTCCTAAATTCTCTTTTTTTCAGGGGCCCTGGGCCCTTCTCTCTCTGGCTGCATGGCTGCTTCTGGTCATGTGCAAAGGGCCTGTTAGGGAAAATAAGAAATGTTGGGCATGGGGAACTCGGGCTGTCCCCAACCTGGTGCCTTTTAAATGAATTTCTGAGTGGTGTTCACAATTGGTGGCAAATGCATTTGAATTTCAGAATAAAATAGAGCTGGGAGGGACCTTGGAGGTCTTCTAGTCCAACCCCCTGCTCAAGCAGGAGACCTCATACCCTTTCAGACAAATGGCTGTCCAGTTTTTTCTTAAAAACCTCCAGTGAGGGAGCACCCACAACTTCTGGTGGCAAGCTGTTCCACTGGTTAATTGTCCTCACTGTCAGAAAAATTCTCCTTAATTCTGGGTTGTTTCTGTCCTTGATTAATTTCCAACCATTGTTTCTTCTCCTGCCTTCAGGTGCTTTGGAGAATAGGTGGAACCCCTCTTCTTTGTGGCAACCCCTCAAATATTGGAACACTGTTATCAGGTCACCCCTAGTCCTTCTTTTCTCTAGACTAGCCATACCCAAGTCCTGCAACCGTTCAGTCTGTCTCCAACTACCTTGTCACACCTCAGCTGTGTGATCTTTCGCAACTTAGCTAGCTTGATTTGATATGTCTCATGCAGGATGTGGGATTATCAGTCCATTAGCTTATTTCTTAGGTGGAGTTGCACCATAGTCTATTTTGCACACTCCTTACGTGTGCAAGGCTCTGTCTTGATTACCTAAACTACTCCAGTTCTTATTGACACGCAGACAAGGAATAAAACATTTCAACTATATGAAAAAAGATCGTTTTTGCATTTTCCTGCTTACGTGAATGCTTTTTTTTTTTAAATTGAACCAGAGGGGAAAAAAGTATTTATTTTCACCCGTGCAAGGACCACTTGCTCATTACTCCTAGTATAGTTTGCAACAATCCTCTTCAATTAATCAATCTTTTGAACAGTGGTGTTGAATCTTAAGTAGACCATACTTAATTAAGCCTCACACCCTATATATAGCATTCTGTTTTTCCTTTTTTTTTAAAAAAAAAAAACCTGAGTTCTGTAGAATGCTGAGTTTAACTCAGTTCTTTGAGTTTGTGGTAACATTTCCAAATGGAGTTGCTGATGGCAAATGTTATTATTTTTTTAGATTTCATAAGCTGCAGCTTCATAGACTGCTTAGCTCAAAACTGTACTTTAGCACAAAAACTGCTTTCTTTAAATAAAATTTGATGGTTGGGAAACAGGCTACCAGACTTGGGTTTTCTGCAAAGAATGTACCTGGAGAGCAAAATGAGTGACAGAAATTTACTCTTGCATTTTTGTCTGCCCTTTTAATGAAAAAAAAAACGAGTTTGCTTCGTCAATTAATCCAGCACGTTTTTTAAAAAAAAATATATAGACCAGAGGGAGGAAATTGTGCAAAAGAAACTATGAATGTAAGTAAAATATAATGCAGAATTTAATATGGCTACTGTATATTAATAGGGACTGTAGTGACCATGACTACTCATTTTTATTGCCCTGGCAACAATAAAAAATTTTATTTTTGACTCGTCTGTTTGTTAGATTCAGACTTTGGCATAATGAGACATCCATTAATAGAATGTCTTATTTAAAGGGTGTCTTGGAGTTTCTGTTAGGTGCTGGAGCGAGGCATTTTAACGTTCCCAAGCTTTTAAAATGATTTTTGGGGGAAGAATCTAAGTGCTCCTGACGCCAATCATTGGGTTTGATGTTGCTGTGGACTGGATAAGTGTTTTTATTGAGTAATATAATAGGAACTATTTCAATGTCTTGAACACATCCCATTAGCTGCACAACATACATTTTGTGCTCCTGGCTGATGGCCAGCTTGAAACCCAGATGGGTACATTTCCGAGATAAAACGGCATTTCCTTACCCCTCACACTCACATAACCTCCCCGCATAAGAATAAAATAATGATGATGATGATGATGTTGGAAGGGACCTTGGAGGTCATCTAGTCCAACCCCCTACTCAGGCAGGAAACCCTATACCAATTCAGACAAATGGCTGTCCAGTCTCTTCTTAAAAACATCCAGTGTTGGAGCATTCACTGCTTCTAGAGGCAAGGAGTTCCACTGGTTAATTGTTCTCACTGTTAATTGTTAATTCTTCTAAACAGTTAATGCCTTCTTATCTGCCCCCAAAGCAAAATACCACATCAGATAGGGGTGGTAGGAATTGACGTGCCGGTGCATTGATTGATAACAAAATAACAGAATGACAAGAGTTGGAAGGGACCTTGGAGGTCTTCTAGTCCAACCCCTTGCTCAGACAAGAGACCCTCTACCATTCCAGACAAACGATTGTGCAATCTCTTCTTTAAAAACCTCCAGTCACGGAACATCCACAACTTTTGGAGGAAAGCTATTCCACTGATTCATTGTTAATTAATTGTCAGGGAATTTCTCCTTAGTTCCAGGTTGCTTCTCTCTTTGATTCGTTTCCATCCGCTGTTTCTTATCCTGCCTTCAGGTGCTTCGGAGAATAGGCTGACACCCTCTCCCCCCCCTTCTTTTGTGGCAGCCCCTCAAATGTAATGTCCCTTTAGGGGCATCGTTTCCTCTGGCTTTTGAAGGGTTGCATTGAAGCCCGTTCAAGATATTTTTCGGAAGCCATTTTAAACATTTTATTTTCCGTGTGGTAAAAATGCATCTGAAGGGAGAACACATAAAGTGCCTACTGGGAAGCAAGTCAGCCTAAATTCAGTGGCACTCACTTTCAAAGCTGACCGAATCTTGAATTTACAGGATAGGAATAGAAATAGAAATAGAAATAGAAATAGAAATAGAAATAGAAATAGAATAGAATAGAATAGAATAGAATAGAATAGAATAGAATAGAATAGAATAGAATAGAATAGAATGAAGAATAGGAAAGAAGAATAGAATAGAATAGAATAGAATAGAATAGAGAATAGGAAAGAATATTCTATTCTTATATTCTATTCCATTTCTCTATATTGTATTCTATTCTATTCTATCATTATTCTATTCTCTATTCTATTCTCTATTCTATTCTATTCTCTATTCTATTCTATTCTATTATTCTATTCTACTCTACTCTACTCCACCCCATCCCATCCCATCCCGTTCTTATTTCTATTCTATTCTTATTTCTATTCTATTCTTATTTCTATTCCATTCCATTCCATTCTATATTCTATATTCTATCCTTATTCTGTTCTGTTCTGTTCTATTCTATTCATAATAACACCAGTGTCCTGACTTTCCTTTTCCAGGATTAAGAGAGAGGTCCAAGTCCTCCAGCTGGCTTTGTGCCTAAAGCGAGAACGGCACTCTTGTTTTCTAGCCTTGTGCCTTTAACAACTACCCCAAAACCGTCCCTCGGTTATCCCCGACCGACCATAAAACTCCTCCTTCCTTTTCTTACCTAGATGATGAGGAACACCGTGAAAATGTGGTGGCCGCAGCAGCAGCAGCCCGGCCTCAGCCCTTGGCCGCCGAGCGAGGAGAAGGGATGCCCAGACACCGGAGGAACAGGATGCTCGCTCTGAGACGCACGCAACAGGTCGAGGAAGCCGTGGAAGGTAGCAGCTCCTTATTGTCCCAAGGGTTGGATAGGGATGTTTGTCCGCTAATTGTCCCAAAGGTGCTTTTTTTTCAGGAAGCACCTGGACTTTTTCCTTTGAAGATGTTTCGCTTCTCATCCCAGAAGCTTCTTCAGCTCTGACTGGATGGTGGGGAAATGGAAGGATTTATACTCCTTGCAGACCGCTGGTCATTTGCCTCCTTTGAGAGAGTCGTGGAGGCCACTTGGAGGTTTGTCTGTGTCCTCAAATGGCCTCAACGACTCTCTAAAAGAAGGCAAATGACCGGCTGTCTGCAAGGAGTATAAATCCTTCCATTCCCCACCGTCCAGTCAGAGCTGAAGAAGCTTCTTGGGTGAGAAGCGAAACGTCTTCAAAGGAAAAACAAGGAAGTCCAGTGGCCTCGTGAAAAAAAAAAAAGCACCTTTGGGACAGCCATGACATGGATGACTGAGAATCTCCCTAGAGACACTTCTCTGCTAATTTTATTTATTTATTTATATCCTGCCTTTATTATTTTTTAGAAATAATTCAAGGTGGTGAGCACACACCTAATAATCCTTTCTTTTCCTGTTATTCCCACAACCACTACAACCTTGTGAGGTGTCCTGAGTTGACTGGCCCACAGTCACCCAGCCGGCTTTCATGCCTTACTCTGGACTAGAATTCACCGTCTCCTGGTGATTGGCCCAAAGTCACCCAGCCGGCTTTCATGGCTAAAACAGGACTAGAATTCACCGTCTCCTGGTGATTGGCCCAAAGTCACCCAGCCAGCTTTCATGGCTAAAACAGGACTAGAATTCACCGTCTCCTGGTGATTGGCCCAAAGTCACGCGGCCGGCTTTCATGCCTAAAACAGGACTAGAATTCACCGTCTCCTGGTGATTGGCCCAAAGTCACCCAGCCAGCTTTCATGGCTAAAACAGGACTAGAATTCACCGTCTCCTGGTGATTGGCCCAAAGTCACCCAGCCGGCTTTCATGCCTAAAACAGGACTAGAATTCACCGTCTCCTGGTGATTGGCCCAAAGTCACCCAGCCAGCTTTCATGGCTAAAACAGGACTAGAATTCACCGTCTCCTGGTGATTGGCCCAAAGTCACCCAGCCAGCTTTCATGGCTAAAACAGGACTAGAATTC